AGAAACGTCATCCCGACCCCCTGCCACTTGGATGGTCCCGACTGTCCCATCACAGCGAGCCTTCTTGGCCGCCTCCGCTCTGGAACTCTCGGCCACCGCCTCCCGCTGACGCTTCGAGAGAAGCGAGCTACTCGGGGATAGCAAAGGTGCCCCCATTTGTCCGATTGTCGGACTCTGAACCGGAGCTCGAACATCGGGAACCTCAGATTCGCCACCAGCATCGAAGCTCTCACAGTCCTCCACTGGATCCTCCGAGAACAACTCCCTAGCGGTTTGGTGGCCCCTTCTCTTTGAAGAACGGAGAGAGCCCCTGATGGGACGATCGCGTTCCGCCAGACATGAGCTTTGGAACCAGAAGTTGGCAGGGTCAGCACTAGCACCCCGATACCACCGACAGTACAAGAGCGTGTGGTGTAAATCGCGGTCCTTCGCAGGCAACTCAAAACGAGCTTGAGTACCTCCAGCATGGGTCCAGAACCACCCCCGAGCGCCGTCAACCAGTCCTCCTTCGAAGTGTAGGCGAGGGTTGGCGTTGCCCACATACAATTGATCATACCCAAACTGGCGGGCAAACCTGCAAGGGATGTATGGCTCGAGATAGCATGTGGAGCCTGTTCTCAGAACGTGATACCCTGGTCGAATGTCCACCAACCAGCGAAAGGCACCACGGGAAAGGATTGTGTGGTGATCCGCCGTCGGCGCATCCCTGAGAGATTCTCCATATCCACCCCCGCTAAAGTAAGGAAAAGATCGACGAAAATTATAGTGCCCGAAGTGGGAGAGCGTCTTCCTCGTATCGGGGATGTCCTTGCACTTCCAAGAGCACCTCTCCAAACGCTGGACGAAGGGAACAAACTTGTCTCCCTGAAGCGCTGCCGGGGCACTCATCAAGCATTCGCAGTGATAGACGAACCATGCCATCAAGTAGGTATACGGTAGCCCCACCCTAGGATTGGGGGTTCTGATAACTTCTCCTTCCCCCTCGTCGAGGACCGACACACGGCAGAATTGGCTCGTCAGAGTACGGAGCCCCCGATGGATACACGCTATCGTCGCCGATACCAGGGAATAAGCCTTCCCGTGAGCCAGGCAAACCGCCGGATACACGACCTCTATAGGAAGAGCCTCGAAGGAGTGAGTGGGGATTACGCACCTCTTCAGCCATAACATGAGGTACCCCGCGAGCAGCGCCTTCCCCGAAATGAGAAACTTCGCCTGATGATGGAATGAGTGAAGGACCGTACCAGCCTTAAATCCGCCCTCGTCGCGGTCAAGAGTAATGGTGCTTCCTTCTTTAGCTGTCCTCGCCTCCACTTCGGGCTGGTCGCACGCGCCTAACGGGAGAGCGGGCTTCCCCTTGACATCGTTCCCAGGGAACAGATAATCAGCCCAATTCTTGTGGCTAATCCCTGGGGTCTTCTTCCTCTTCCCCTTATGATCCGAGGCCCCTAAGGTACTGAGGCATATGTGGAAGTGACAGAGTAACTCCCACAGAGTTTCAACCGCCAGAGGGGAATTGTCCGACAGCTGATCGATCTCATCTTGATCAGGGACGTATTCCTCATAAGGGAAGTCTCCCAGAGGCAGCCCCGACACGTCGTGCATCTCGAAGGGGGTGATACCAAGCTCACCATTGGGAGTGAAAAACGTGCCGCTTTCCGCACAATACAATTCCAGAATGCTATGGAATTGAGAAGCGTTGATCCGCAGGCCATGTCGAGTGGCTTCGAGGGCCACATACAGCTCTGTGCCTTTGAGGTCAGCATTCTCGGCCAAAACATAGTCGGTGATCTTGGACCACCACGTGTCGCTGCCTGGCGCAGAGTAAACCCACCCCGGGGCCCTGAAGTCCTTCGGGGGAAAGCTTCCACCGACTCGGAAGAAGCGGTGACGGAAAGTCTCCGCCACCGCTGTCGATTCCCCCACGGGCGGTTCAGCAGACACTAAGCCAGGGCGCAGACCCGTCACGCGCTTACATGAGCTCTCCACTCCATACCCAGCCGTAGAACCCGTAAAGACGCCACAAGTGACCCCGTCCTGAGTGGGGGTCAAATCCCAGTTCATCGTCCGAGGAATCGCGAGGGACCGCAGCTCAACAATCGAAAACCCTCTCGGCATGCTGGGGAGGTAATAATGGGTCCCCTCTACCGTGCGGAACCACCGGCTCTCTTTGAGCAACAGGGCAGAAGGGTCGGTCATGGAGTCGCCGAACAGAAATTGAGGTTTCGGCAGCTCTGCCCTGGCCTCATCTGTCAGCGCCGCATTGGTCGTCAGCTCGCGCAGGGTCAAGTGATGACCATCCGTGACCCTCTGTACCAGACCATGCAGCTTATCAGCAGTGAACAAGGGTACTGGAGCCAACGAGGGAAAACGAGAAGGGGCCGTGTAGCTCTTAGCCCCGACGTGGCCAACGGCCACACCCTCCGGGAAAGCCTCATCAGGGAAGGTCGCTGCAACAAGAAATAGAAAGTCAATTGAGACAAAATCCGCTGTAGAGGTGAAATCGCCCATCGAACATAGGAAGGCGAAATCGCCTATCGAAAGGGGGAACCCACTTCGAACGAGGTCTGTCCCTACGGACTACACTCCCCTCTAATGGGAAGGGCCGAACTCGCCTTACGAAAAAGGGGTTCGTCTCCTCCCCACTGGAGAATTCGCCCGCGGGGACAGTACTCATCCTCTAAAGGCAAAATAGGGCAAACTTTGCCCCAAATCGGGGAAATAAGCAACACTCATCTCCCTAAATCCGACGCCTAAGGCCTGCAAGGGATCGCCCAACGAATCCATCAACGTACCTGGGCACGACTCCAGAGCACCAGCAGGCATGCCGGCAGAGAGACGGTCGGAGTAACGTCCGGGACCTGCACCCCTCACTTTGCACCTCTTAGGTTTCGGAGCCATTGTAAGAGGAAGCGGGAATTCTTTCCTTGGATGTTCCCTTTCGAGATTTGAAAGCACGGTAAATCCCAATGGAGGAAAACGGCTGATTTAGAAGGGCGGAGTTGCCCACGTGACCACGACTGCCCTCGAAAGGCGAAAACCCTAACGGACAGGAAACGGGGCCACGATCAAATTCGACGGCCCAGATCACCCTCAGTGCATCGAAGGGACCGAGATTAGCGGTTGAATCCGACGGTTGAGTCCGAGAACCACGGCCACGATACGTCGCAGGGCGAAACGCACGAGGATCGTGCTGTCAAGTCACGATCGCCACGATCCAATGTCTTAGCTGGGAAGCACGAGGCTCTGTCAGCAGACGCGTGGCTCATCTCTCGTCAGATCCGGTTCCGCCTACAAAAGGAAGGGTTTCGCCTGCAAATACTGGGCATAACCCCACGAGTCGCGCGAGAATTGGCTCTCAAAAATTAATTTCGCCTTGACGATGCATTCGCCCTCAAAGGTAAAATTACGAACAAAGCCAAAAGAATGACCTTGCTTAAACGGTTGAAACCCACGCCCCAGATGGCTAAGGGTTAGAGCAGAAATCTTAGCATTAAGCCTAAGAGAAACTGTTCGACAACTCATCATACTGAGGAGAATAGTATGGCTAGCCCGATTCAAACGGTAATCGGTAAAGGCACATCAAACCCGTTGATAGCTGAGGGTTTGCTAAAAATCCTAAGAGAAATCGCAGGCACTTGCTTCGCCAACAGTTTCTTCATTCAAAGTGTTCCAGACCACACGCAAGCCAGTTTAGGTCCGAAAACTTTGAAGGGGGTCTTGTAGACGGTAAAAAATACCTCTATGGGTCTACAGGAAATTTGCCTACGAGAAGAGCTCGCACGCCCAGTTCTCTGGCACGGATCTAAACCGCGTAGACGTCGACTGTACTCAAGTCCAGGTTCGCCTAACGGTCGACTCGCCAGCATGAGTCAGGAGCGATCAGGATGGCGGAAATTTGCTCTTCGCTCAACTCGCCTGCCCGAGTTCGGAGTCGAATCCGCCAGCAAGCCCCAAAACCGTCAGTACAGCTGGGTATCCACTACCCCACGTGCTGAGGTGGGCCTTCCCACCTCTCTCGACCCAAAGGGAGAGAGAGCACAGTACCCCAGGGCCGTCAAAACGGCCGCCCACAGTGCGCACAGCGCGAAGGAGCTGGACAGGTGTCGAGTCAACCTGAGCATTCATAAATGCGACTCACCTCGGCTGTCTGAGTCTGGAGCTGGGTCCGCCGGCACTCGGCAAGCTGGCTAGACTCACTCGAGTACTGTACACCTACTCCACCGCCTCTCCTGACCGAAAAGGAGAAAGCGTCGTGCTCAAAGCACGCCGGGCGGTCACGCACAGTACTGGTGATCGGACAGACGCCTCATCGATCTGCGGACTCATAAATGCGGTTCATTAATGCTGGTCAAATCCACTCGGATAGTAGTCGTTTGTTGCCTCACATACAAGAATGGGCCTTCCCATCGTAGGTGACAGGACATAAAGCACAATCCCTGGAATGACCGATCATGGTTTCGAGGAACAGCTAGACGTCTCTGAAGAAGATGTGGTCACATCCCACAATTCAAGGAGGAGTCAAGTTGTCCTTCTCCCATTTAAAAGCCTCTTCCGGCACACTGGAGAGGAGGTCGCAAAACTTAGGAAAAAGAGTTGAGACCAAGCTCTCTGCACAACTTTCTTTGCATTGCAGCACTACTGCTTAGTTCCGAGCTCCGATCGCCGGCGAACTAAACAGACCCGAACTCTCTCAAGTTGAGCTTCTACTGCGAACTGAAGCTCTCCAGCAACCTCATTCGAACGGTCCAAGGGAAGCAGACTCGACCCGAGCATCGAGCGAAGCATCCTGTAGCCACCTAAAAGTCCCCACACAAAACAAAGAGGGCCTTCCCTCTGCTTCTGTTGTAACTATTTGATCATTAGTTTGTAATAAGCCTTCTTATAAATACAAACGAAACTCTCTCTTTCGGGAAATCAAATATTCACCCTACAATGACGAGGTAACCAATATTGGCAAGGAAGCAGAGAAGGAGTTAGAGAAAGGTGAATGGCAAGAGATGGAGGATGATAATTTGGAGAAAGCTGTAGAGAGTGAGGAGGATAAGAAAGAGGAAGTGACTGTGGATGAGAAGAAAGAGGAAGAGCGAGAGCAGGAGAAGAATGAGGAAGAGGAAGAGGAAGAGGAGAAAGTGGAAGAGGAAAAACATCAGAAGAAAGATGAAGAAATAGTGGTGGAGAACAGAGAGGGGGAATGTGCTGAGGAGAAGAAAGATGAAGAAAGGATGGAAAGTCTGGAAGAGGAAAAAGGAAAGAAGAAAGATGAAGAAAAAGTGGTGGAAAACAGAGAGGGAGAATGTGCTGAGGAGAAACTGGATGAAGAAAGGATGGAGGATGGAAAACAGGTGCAAGTTTATCAGAAGAGAATGAAGAGATTAGCGTCAAAGGGGACTAGGGGACCAAGTACCAGAAAGCGGACGCGCTCACAACTAGTCCGCACCCCTTTCACTCAAGAAAAGAAGAAGGAAGTTCATCAAGAGATAATTAACATATCACACCACAAGGAGGAAGAGAGGGAAAAAATCAGGTTCTATTGTAAGCCTGATGAATGCACTTGGGATTTTTTGGGGAAGAGGAAAATCAAGAAGAAGGAGGAGGCTCTAGAAGGAGGAGCCAGTAAATAAAGTAATTGCATTCATGGACCATATGAAGTCTGGTTTCGATCCGAATAATATTTGGAGAAAGTTCCGATATGAAGCCGTCCCTTGTGAGCAACAGACTGGAATGTTAGTATTTCATGCATTTAAACATGTCTTAGTATGTTAACTAAATTTAAACATTTTCATTTTATTCAGCATGTTATATCTAACTATCTGCTCCATCTTATATCATGCAGCTTTGCTAGAGAGGCCAGATGTGGAGTCCATGGGCAACCAATATGGGGTTGTATCGACATTCTTCTGCGTAAGCATTAGGTTCAATCTCCTACCATTTTTATCTCATGTTTACAATTGGCTTATCATAATTTTTTGGCAATACAGCATAGTCTTTATGCAGTCACCCCAGATTTTCCACATCTATACACCTCTTTCATACAAAAGCATGTTGCCGCAAGGAAGAATGTACTCCTTATCCCGCTTGTGCGTCATGACCACTGGCATGTGGCTGAAGTAAGGTTGGATGAGGACGTTGTCAAGCATTATAGCTCGGCTGGCCATAGTGCATACGTTGAGCCAGTAAATAAAGTAATTGCATTCATGGACCATATGAAGTCTGGTTTCGATCCGAATAATATTTGGAGAAAGTTCCGATATGAAGCCGTCCCTTGTGAGCAACAGACTGGAATGTTAGTATTTCATGCATTTAAACATGTCTTAGTATGTTAACTAAATTTAAACATTTTCATTTTATTCAGCATGTTATATCTAACTATCTGCTCCATCTTATATCATGCAGCTTTGATTGTGGTCTTTTCGTTCCTTTATATATAAAGGCTATAATTCATGGGGTTGATACCACTCAAGTCACTAATCACTCTGACGAGTCTGAAGTCATCCGTGCCAGGCTTGCAGCTGAACTCCTAATAGAAGGATGGGAACAGAAAAATCAAGGGGAGACAGTGGAAAAGGATGGGTGAATGATATCCTAAAAAGTGTTGTGTACGAATTCATTGAATTGGGAACAAAACTAACTGGCATTTTAATTTAGTTAACATTATTGCAGCTTTGTATCATTCTCTTTGACAGTTATTCTACTGTTTGTGTAACTGGTTGATAGTGTGGATGAGAAGATGCACATATCTGGTTGTGAAACTGCCAAAAAATTGGTAAAAAAACCCACTTTCAGTAAAAGTTAACGTATAACTCTGATAGTTAACCACTTTCAGTAAAAGTTAACATATAACTCGAGAACATAACCACTTTCAGAAAATGTTAACATATAAGTGAGATAAATAATCACTTTCTTCAGCAAAAGTCTAACTAATATTTAACCACTTACAGCAAAAGTCTAACTAATATTTAACCACTTACAGCAAAAGTCTAACTAATATTTAACCACTTACAGCAAAAGTCTAACTAATATTTAACCACTTACAGCAAAAGTCTAACTAATATTTAACCACTTACAGCAAAAGCATAACAAACTGAAGTTTCTTCAGTTGATTTTCATCTTACAGATCACAATGTTGAAGAAAATTAGTACCATACAAAAACAACATAGGAAGAATGAGCAAAGTTTCCATTTTTCGACTTCACGGTTCGATTGCTTCAGTGCTTTCTTCAGTTGCTTTGTTTTGGTCGCTATCTCATCTTCAACGGGGACTTCTGGGCAGAATGAAATAATCTTACTGGGCATTGCATTCTCTTTGTGAGCCCAAGCAAAAAAATTGCATTGCATATTTGGGAAATTTGCACATCCCCAGAAGTATCTTCCTTTATTCTTCCCATTTTTGCACAGCCTCATGGGTGTTGGAATTTGACAGAAACAACACACCTCTTCTTGTGACTGAGATATCTCTGATGTTCTCATCTCACTCTCTCAAACTCCGAGTGCAGGGAAGATAGAACATACATTTAAATTTAGCTTGTCCATGGGCACATTATATATTGCATAAGGAACAAGAAACTAGCCGTTGTAATGAAGCTGTTAGCACAGTATGATGGACAGTTAGCCGTTAGAACAGTGAATGAGATGTTGGACATTTGGCCAATTTAAAATCAATATCTTTTTGAAAAATCTAAGATGAACAAGCACAAATCCGTTAACATCTTTCAGCCTTGCTTTTAGATATTGCTAGCATGAACAAAATGATTAGTCGATCATTATCACAGATTACAAAAGTCCACCACTATATACTTAACCACTTAAAAACAACCTTTGCTGTCTCATACAAAAGTATTGTTGTAAGATGCAGAAACACACTAGTCACCAGATGGGCTCGTTACAGGTTGCTCGATTGTGACCATCAACTTTGCACCGAGAACATTTGACTGGACGTTTGTAAATGGTTCTGTTGTTTATGCGTCTTGTTTTATTTCTTCCCCTCCTCTTGTGGTAATTGGTGGCAAAATCTGTATTTCATCCCTGGACACACTCCGCTTCTCATAATCTGGGATGGGATATAATATTTCGTCGTAGCTCTTCTTAAACGCTTCTACGGACATGAACCAATCACAATATTGATATACGTCTCTTTTCATATAAATAATGACTGCACAAGCATGCACACAAGGAATACGGGTTACGTCCCAAGACCGGCAAGTGCACGTCCTCTTCTCCAAATCAACGTGAGTAGTTCTATGTGACTGCACTTCGAATATATCATCTCTAGATTGTTTAACCTCTAAAGTACGTCCTCTTTCCATATTTTCTCTAACAATCTTCTCAGCTTTAGGGCACAGATAGCTTGTCCACTTATCAGCCATTATCCGTCTATTGTTCAGGCGACTCATAATTTGTTTTCGGATATGCTCTATCATTTGCAGGATACGTAACAATCGAGCTGTTAAAGGATTCTGCAACATTAGAGGTTACATGACCATATCTGCAAAGCACAAAATAATTAATAGTATGATGGGCATCCAATATGTAATAAAATTAACACGTAACAACAAAACTTAACCTTTACTGCTCAAAGTTAACATAAAAACATCAGTGTTAACATATATTGCTGAAAGTTAACATATATCAGACAAAGTTAACCTATAGGAAGAAAAATTCACATATATGTAGAATAGTTAACATCAACTGCAAAACGTCATAATCTAAGATGAATGCATTACCTGATGCCAGGGAAGAATGCATTCGCCCATTTCTCTGGCGAATAACAGAGTACAATCTCATATGCGACTGGAGCCATCTCATAAATTTCCTTCATGTAGTCGTTCCATTCCGCTATAGTGTATTTATAGCAAGCAGATTGGAGCAAACTCCCCAAAACTTGTGTGTCCTTTGCTTTCAATCCCAAATCCTTTAGCTTTGTTCTAAAATTTTCAACTAGGTGCAGCACGCATCGTGAGTGGATTGCTTCAGGGAAATATTCTCTCACGGCTTCTCGAATCCCCTTGTCGGCATCAGAAATAATTACCAATTGGTGGGGAGGATTGTACGGGTCTAACCTTTCATACAGTATGGACCACAAGCCTTGAAGGAACCATCTCCAATTATCAACATTTTCCTGATCACATATACAATACGCAACCGGAAATATCCCTTGGTCTCCGTCGTATGCTATGGCGCTCAGGAGCATGCCTTTGTATCTGTCTTTCAAAAAGGTCCCATCCAAAAATAATAGGGGTCTACACCCATTTAAGAAACCAACGATGCAAGCGGCATAACATATAAACAGTCTTTTGAACCTTCCTTCATTCTGGTCAATGCATATGTAGCTTCCTGGATTCGTTTCCTTCACCTTTTGCTCATACCTGTACAACAATGTAGCTTCTGCTCAAGCATATATAATACATTGGAACATTAGGATAATATATTAACATAAAAGCTCACAAGTTTTCATAAAACATAACATTCCACAATGACAGTTGGAACATATCAATGAAAACTAACATGAAACATCTAAGGATGAGATATTGCATGATAAATCAACAACTAACAATTGTACTATAAGCGGCTATGATAAAAATTTGTACACTTAATAAAATAACTGTAAAATTTACCATCTTAATTGATCATAAGCCTCATAACTATCACCATACATATCCTCCTGCGCTCTTTCTTTGCCCCACCATATCTTACTGTATTCAAGTCTCAATCCATATCGAGTGAGGAACTCCTTTTGCACATCAATTGGTCGGATTTGAGGTCGCGCCTTTAATACCGGTCGCAATTGGGCTGCTATGAATTTACGAGATGCCCGTGATTGCCCTGAATTGTTAGCATGTTGTCCACAACTGTGTTCATTCACAAACCTTTTGATTTCAATTCTTTTACCATACTTAACAGGAGATGCAAAGAGCATCCAAGGGCATCCATATGTCTCCTTATATCGACAACATACTCGGATACGTTTGGGTTCATTCTTTACAAATTCATAGTCAAATTTTTTCGCCATGGAATAGTACTGCAAAGCTAGTCTCAATTCGTTTACAGTCTCAAATTGTTGCCCCTTTTCAGTTAATGTTGTGTGCCACCATTGAGGAATGCTGGAAGTGTTGTTGAGAATATCATCAGCTCTCATTACAACCTCACCAGACGGGAAATCATTTTGGATTCTCTCTGAATTGGATGCATTTCCTGGAGGAGGACGACTATATTCTGCATTCAAAGAGGCATCACTACTGCACAAATTAATCAACCAGTGAGATATCATGCACAATATGTTATATTATCTTCTGATAATTTAAGTTAACAGCAGTAGGACCAAAGGTAACATAGTACAACAAAAGTTAACTAACTGGGTGTAAAATTAACCATTTTCCGTAAACCTTAACATAGTACAACAAAAGTTAACTAACTGGGTGTAAAATTAACCATGTTCCCACGACAATTAACATGTTCATGTAAAGGTTAACATATCTCTTGGAAAATTAACCTATAAGATGAAGAGTTAACATCTAACCATCAGAGATGACAACTATTTTTTCCCAAGTTACCATCGAAACCTGAAATCACAATTGGCTTATCATCACACATAGACCTGTTCCTGACAGAGTTCATTGTTTACTTACAAATCAATAATAACTTACATTGAGGGATTTGATGCCCATAAGGGATGGTTGAAAGTTGAAGAAAAAAATAACAATGTTTACATCACACAAAACCCAATGTTATAAAGAGTTCATTAATTACTTACATTTCCCTAATCTGATTTTTCCTTGAAGTGGAACACTCTACATTAACAGCAGCTTGCATGTGAATCTCCGTACAACCAATATTTCGATTGTGCTCCAACATGCACTTCAAATCATCATCGTTGTCAACTGAAAAACTGAGGTTGGGGTGCCTCTCAGATTTAAATATAAAGGATAAAGCTTCTTTAGGTACTTTCAATCTTTCAGACACATCAAATTGGAGTTCATCAAAGCTTGTTGTCGAACTTAGCTTCACGAATATGGCATTCTCGCCTAAAGAAACCATGCAAATCAAGTCATTGACGGCCATTAGGGGTGGTTGAAAGTTATGAGGACAGTTATGAAGGCAATTATGACGAGTTGAGG